TCAGCCTAGACTCCCTTTTTATAGGGAGAGTCCTTAAAGGCTCCACTCCCTCTGACACCGGGTCAAGCCTTTCTGACTGGAGGAGCTTTAAACCTTACCACCTCCAGGAAACTGAAGTGCTTGCCGTCACTCATTTTTTTTTTTATAAATTTATATAATGTGTATTGATGTGAGGGTGTCAGATCCCCTGGAACTGGAGTCACAGACAGTTGTGAGCTGGGAATTGTACCCGGGTCCTCTGAAAGAACAGCCAGAATTCTTAACCTCTGAGACATCTCTCCAGCCCCACACCCTAATTTTTTAAATTTAATTTCTGGTTCCTGGTCATTAATTATTGTTGTCATCATTATTGGTGATTTCAGCGTTTTTTTGTTTTGTTTTTTGAGACAGGGTCTCTACAGAACCTGGCTGTTCTGAAACTCATTGTGCAAACCAGTCTGGCCAGGAACTCATAGAGATCCTTCTGCCTCCTGAATGCTGGGATTAAAGACATACACCACAATACCCCAGCTCAAATACTTAAAAATAAAATTATATTTATTTATTTATTTGGGTGTATTTGGGTGTGTATGGGGTGGGAGTACCTGTGGAGGTCAGAAGACTTCCAGTTCAGCAAGTCGGTTCTGCTCTTCCACCATGTTGATCTCGGAACTGCCCCAGATGATCATTCCAGGAGGCAAGAATCATTTAACCTCTACATCATCTGACCAGTCCTAAGTAGTTTATTATTTTTAATTTTTATTTTATGAGTATGGGTGTTTTACTGAATGCATGTCCGTGCACTACTTGTGTGTTTGGTCCCACAAGGCCAGAAAAGGGAACCAGATTCCCTGGAACTGGAGTTACATAGTGGTGAGCTACCATGTGGGAGCTGGGAATTGAACCAGTGTTCTCTGGAAGAGCAGCTAGTGTTCTTAGTTGCTGAACTCTCTCTCCAGCCAAGGATGTTTGATTATTGCAGTGCTCTGGCCTTTCTGGCTACCCTCCTCTGCAGATCACCCTTGTTCCTACCTCCCATTGCCACATTTCTTACTGCCAGTGATTGTGACCTCTTGAAATGTCCATTCTTTTTTTTAAATTTATGTATTTATTTATTGTGATGCTGAGGATGAGCCTAGGGCTCTAACATACCAGGCAAGTACTCTGCCTGCCACTGAGTCACATCCTCTGGCCCCACAATCTTAATTTTGACTATCTCCCTTCCCCTCCTTAACCTCCTGCCTTTTTAGTTCACTCTCCGATACTCCAACATTCAAGTCATTCAAGATCCAAAAGCCATGGCCTATTGCGTGGGAATCAAGATTCACTAGACTCAGTACAGGTTAAGTAAAGTTGATTCGGGAAGAGTGCACTCACACAAGAAGCAGGTGTCCACCGCAAGTTCCAGCTCCAAGGATTCACCAAGACCACCCTCTGTGACCTGACCGGAAGCAAGAGAAAGTGCTGGGGTCCAGGACCCCAGATCTAGTCCTACCCTCCATCATGTCAGCACCTGTGACCACGCCCAAAGGGGCAGTGGTCAGTGCTACAGGTGAGGGCAGGGTGGATATCTCACTAGAATTCCCTTTTAGTCTAAAGAAAAAGATTTAGGCTTGATATGAAACTATATACGAAGATAGCAAATATCAAGTGTGCTCTAGGAGAAGGAAAAGTAAGAACAAACACACTTAAGACCTATCGCCAGTGAAGCAACAAGAGAAAATGGCAAGAACTACATATCTAGTCCTAGGGTGATGGCATAACAGAGATTACTATAGAGTTGTCCTAAGCTGGAAAGTTTTAAGTCTTGTACCTCATATTTCTATCTAGGAAGAGAGAACAATAACTGTGACAGTCTAATCTTCAACTTCATTGAAGACCTGAGAAGGAGGATAGCAATACTAGAGTAGGCAGGAAGTGTAGACAAGCAACCTCCAAAAGGCACAGTGAAGACAGAAACAGCAGACTACATGGACAGTCACCCAGAGTCTCACAGCAACATAGGGGCAACCAGCTTAGGCTAAGACTTGGAGTACCTGACTGACCAACACAAGCAGGGAGGTAGAAAGGCTCTTACCCTGACCAGGCAAGATTGAGCAATCATCTAAGTTTATCTCCTGCAAGCACAATAGGACAGCGTGTCCAAAGTCAGCGGGCGAGGTGGGGCAGTTCTTTGCCCAAGAGGCCATTAGCCAAGGAGAGAATGGACTCCTGAATGAGTAACATTGGTGCCCATCATATTCTCAGGAATAGCTTGGTGCTGTCAGGAGCAACTGTGTCTCATGTCAACAGAGTACTAATATTAAAGTATTTAAATGCCATATTCTGCAGGTCTATGAAGTATTTGAAGATCTAATATCTATGTCTGACTAATCTCATAGATAAGAAACATAGTTGGTAATAGTCTGTAATTCTCAGAAACATAGTTGTACAATGGCTGAAGCTTCCCAAAATAATTTAACCAAGACAATGACTTAAAAAAAATGTAACTATATACATATATATAATTCTCAATAATAGAGATGGAACTGAAATGTCTTAACTAGAGGTAGAAATGGAAAGTGCAATATGATAAAATATCCTAAGTTGTATCAATATACAGAATGCATATACATAAGATAGTTTTATGGGCTGGAGAGATGGCTCAGAGGTTAAGAGCACTGGCTGCTCTTCTAGAGGTCCTGAGTTCAATTCCCAGCAACCACATGATGGCTCACAACCATCTACAATGATGAGATCTGGTGTCCTCTTCTGGTCTTCAGGCAAACATGCAGACAGAACACTATACATAATGAATACATAAATGTGTTTCTAAAAAAGATTTTAAAAAAGATCAACAGTCAACATACAATAATCCAACAATTTAAGTTATCTATAGCTAACAGTTGCTAAAGTTAGTTCACTAGAAAATATGTTAACCTACCTGTTGTTCTTTTGTTTAAGTTAAAGAAAGTTGCGCTATGGAGATGGAACAGACGCGATGGAACACGAAACAGGAGATATATTAACCATGAAGTTTATTTAAGTGGGGGAGGGGGAGAGTGAGAGGGGGGAGAGACGAGAAGAGGGTAAGAGGTGAACAGTAAGAGAGAGAGAGAGAGACGAAGAGGGTAAGAGAGCGTAAGAGGGCAGGGATCTGTCTTTTAAAGGGGTCCTTTATACACCTACATGCAGACTAGTACTCATGGAACCCTGGGCTGACCAGAGTACTGCCTGAGTGCATTCTGCCAGGTATCAGGGGCAGGCCAGCATAATGCCTGAATCCTTGCATTCCCACCTTTACTTATTTTTAAAAAGGTGGGGAGTTAGGCATGGCAGGTTAGGGAATAAGGGCGTCGAGTTCTCAAGACTGCTTCCTGCTGACCTGGGGGGCGTTGACCATCTTTGGGGAACCTGAGAAAGCTGGGGTGCTGCCACATCCTGGGGTAGCTGGTTGCTCCAAGGCAGTCCAAACTGTATGGAACTCTCTGGTGCCTTTTAGACCTGACAAGATGTTGGCAGAGCAGAGTACAGAGTTAAGTTTAGGAAAATTTTTTATCTTAGGTCCTGGTACTTGAAGGGAAGATTGTAGAATGAGGGAGGGGTTTCTGAGGAGTCCCAAGATGAGGGAATGGAATCCCGGAACCAGGAAAAGATTGAATAATATCTGGAGTGAATCTGACCTGTTTGGGGGGGCCAATTTGGCTCCCTGGAACTTACAAGAATCCTTAGAGTTTGTGAAAACAAAGGTATTAGACACATTAGCAACATATTTATGTTAGAAGCGACTTGGCTGAAAGAATTAACATTTTAAAAACTGACAGATATTTTTGGCATAATAAAAAGTACTTTAATCTTGACCTTGCAGTTACGATTGTATAGTGGTATAGTTTGGTGACTTGTACTCTGTCAGAGTTGGATTAGTAGCTTATCAGAACTTTATTGGTTAATGTTAAGACTATGAACAGTAGCATAATGAGAAAGAGAAATCTGGAAACATGTTTCATTCTTTCAGATGTCTCAACTCATTTTATTTGTCATCGGTTAAGCCTTTTTATCCTCAGACCTTCATAACTTTAATTCATACACCTTACATTTTCCTATCTTCACATAGGTAAACCTTAAAATACCTGTTCTTGAAATCTGTTTTGTGACAGTTGGAGCTTTGCCTGTTGCTTTAAGCTGGCAAAGCTACCAGTTGTCAAAAGCATCAGAGTTCTTGAGAAGGATAAAATTTTACCTGAATTAATGATTAAAGAATAACAGAGACTTACTAGCCAGCTGCGCGTACAGCCACCCCCAAAGTCCTCCATAGTTGTTGAGGGCAGTGACTTTAAGGACACACGCCTTCTGCTGATAGCATGGGACCTGTGGATTAGGAACTTTAGGAAGATTTGCCTATCATTGGCCCAAGCTACGTGGAGAAAGTCGATTCCACTGTCCTATTGTCCACGGTCTGAAGAGTCCTTTGCAGCAGTTGAGGTGAAAGGCAGGGTTGCTTAGTGGCTAGCAGTGCGACTTTTCTGGGTGGAGTTTCTTCAGTGCCAGTCTTCTTGGAGGAAATGGGTGGGACCAGCAGCTGGCCTGTCTCTCTGTTATAAAAAGCTTTTTAATAAAACATTTTAAATGTCATATCCTCTAGATCTTTGAGCATTTGAGGGCTGTCTGTCTGTTTAGTATATCTGAGCAGACAAAATTTGTCTTTAGTTATTTTCCTTAAGCAGATAGGTGGCTACAGACTGACTGTAGCTAGTTTTAACTTAGTAGGTTAGATTTACACCTATAAAGGACAAAGAAGTAGAGAAAAATCCCCTTTTGTAATAGAAGCTTTACCCCTGTAGA